ACTTGCCGAAATAGCGGGAAAGAACGGAAGGAAAGGCGGCATCCCGATTTCTTTCCCACCAGCATGTTCATTCGCCCGCTCCGCCAAGGCTGCCAATTTTCGGTGGCTCTGCTCTGAGGAAAAAGCTGACTTTCTCTCTCCCCGGCGCTTCTTCCACGGCGAGATTTTGTGGCGGGTGGAAGATAACGCGGAACGCAGCGTGCGTCAAATTGACAGGAGCAGGCAGAGACCGAAATCAACGCGTCCTGGGTCATATATACCTTTGGATGCGTACGACGTCGCTCGGATGTGATGCTCTGCAGTGGCTGTTTCGTTAGTCAGGACGGGAAACCGAAGCAAGTGTCCACACGGCCACACCACGTGAGTGGGGACAACGTGGTCAGGACGGGGAACCGAAGCAGGTGCCCACGCGGCCACTCCACATGAGCGCAGCCAACGTAAAGTGAAGCCGTGACAGCCCTCCACGCGCTGCGAGCAGTGCCAGCAAATGCTGGACCAGCGTTACCAGATGGCAAAAAAAATCGAAGTCAGTAGATGGGCCCCATACATATCAGTAGATCACCAAACAACCAGTAGATACTAAAAAGAAAGTAAAAAAAAGACCTTTGTGTATTTCTCATTGGTCTTAATACATAACATAACATCATAAATAATATACTAAGAAACACACGTAGAAATTAGTTGCGTTTTTTGCTTGCAGCATTTTTTTTTTAATTCCAATTTCCAGCGGCCAGGTGTAAAACACATTTTTTTCCAGAAAGCAAAATGATTACCCTTAGTACTTTCCAACGATGTAGGTACATTCCCATGCTGTATTCAACGAGCTTGTATATACTTTTTTTCTTTTTGGAGGGGGCCGGAGGTGTAAAATGGCCGCTATCTGAAGAGTTGCCGCTTCTCATAGTACGTGGACGACACTGATCTCTATGACAATTGTGGACGAAACCAAGCAAAGCCAAAGACGTATCCGTTCCGAAAGTACGCGCGTACGCGCCTGCGTTGGCCATTGAGATCAGTGGCGTTGGCTGCATACGGCTTTGGGTAGATGAATCGAAGGATACGTAGATGCATATGTATAGTTTCGTTCCTAATAATTTCACATGCGTTTGATGGCTAACATGAGAACAGCCCTTCAAAATTGTGCATTGCTGTGCCCTTGAAATGTTTTTTCATTCTGTTGAAAAGAGGTCTCCGACACTCCACTCAACTTTGGCGGGGTGGCGGAGAGCAATATAGAGATCAATGGCGGAGTGTGGCAAAGCCGGCAAAGCAGCTCGACCATGAGCACCATGAGCTCGGCGCTCTATGCGGTGCAAGGTGCCGCCATTACTTTCTGGACGTTGCCTGTTTACGCCGTTTACGTATCCTCAATTTTGAGAGCTGTCGAGTAGTAAACTTGTTAGTGAGCGCGTTGGTAATGATATAGGTTTCAGAAAGAGTTATATACGTAAAGACAGGGGACGGGACAACATATCTTTCAACTTTCAACAAACAAATGATTTATTGCCGGACGCTTCTCCTTCGGAGCTCCACTACAGGAGAGGGAAAGTTAAAAGGAGGGAGAAGGGAAAGAGGGGGCAAGACAAGGCCCCGGGAGGAAACTGCGGGAAAGTAAAGCGCAGAGACAGCGGGAAGGAGAGGAAGGAAGGAGGCATCCCAATTTCCCTCTCAGGAGCAGGGACCACTCGCCCGGCCCGTCAAGGACGTCAACTCCGGTCTAAGGAATGTCACCTCCCTCGACAGCCCGCTGTGTTCGCCCCCGCAACGGTCTCCCTGTGTTCTTACACCTCCCCTCATCGCCCTCCCCTCTTTCCCCATCGCCTCCCCAAGTCGAGCTCTGAGCGGCTAGCCGCCCCAGTAAATCTGTAGCTGCAAGTCGAAAGCTGTGTCGTCTGTTTCGTCCTCTTGTGTGTTTCTTTCGTTTTAAGTCAATGGAAATGTTCTTCGGCGCCTCTTTTATGGCGTACGCCTCCACGATCTCGCGCCCGTAGCGGTTCTTGATGGCCCCCAAAACACGCGCGGACGGGAACTCGGGGGCACATGGAGCGCAAACCTTGAGGTGATGGACCATGGGGTGTTGGGAGCAGGGGCGGATTTAGAGGGGGGGTCCGGATGTCCTGACCCCCCTCTTGAATTCTGCATGTGTAAAATTTAGGGCGTGAAACGAGGCAGAGGGGGGGGGGGGGGTCCTAAACATGTGGTGCGCTGACCAACACCTGACCCCCCCCCTCAGGAAATTCCTGCATCCGCCCCTGGTTGGGAGTCCTCGTCGTTTTTTTTTCTATTTCTCTCCTATGTTCGCGCAGGTGGCAGTTGAGGCCGCGCCAAGAGGCACGCGGCCCCTTTCGTTCCCTGCGCGGTCGGACGGGTGTATTCCGTGCCCTTCTCGTGCGGGGCAGAGTACATCGTACAGACGGGCCGCTGCCTCAACGACCGCCTGCGCGAACATGAGAGAGAAATAGAAAAAAACGAGGGGGACTCCCAACACCCCATGGTCCATCACCTCAAGGTTTGCGCTCCATGTGCCCCCGAGTTCCCGTCCGCGCGTGTTCTGGGGGCCAACAAGAACCGCTACGGGCGCGAGATCGTGGAGGCGTACCCCATAAAAGAGGCGCCGAAGAACATTTCCTCGGCCTCGCTGTCGCTGTCGGAGAGAGAGGTGACATTCCTTAGACCGGAGTTGCCGTCCTTGGCGGGCCGGGCGAGTGGTCCCTACTCCTGAGAGGGAAATCGGGATGCCTCCTTCCTCCCCCTCCTTCCCGCTGTCTCTGCGCTTTACCGCTTTACTTTCCCCGAGTTTTCTCCCGGGGCCTTGTCTTGTCCGCCCCCTTCCCCTTCCCCCTCCTTTTAACTTTCCCTCTCCTGTAGTGGAACTCCGAAGGAGAAGCGTCCGGCAATAAATCATTTGTTTGTTGAAAATTGAAAGATGGTGTTCTCCCGTCCCCTGTCTTTACGAATAGTAAAGTGTTTTTGTTTAAATTCTTAGTTTTGGCGCGGTTTGTTCCTCAAGTATTTTCCGGAATATATTGTGTGCTTAAGCTACACTAGGTGGCGCAAGCTGCCACATATACACCATTAACCATCGGTTCAGCCATCTATCCACCCACAGCCTTCACCCACTTATCGTTCCTTTGTTCTGTTTGGCGCGTTACTTGCGGTGGTGACGAATGACGGTTGGCGAGTTTACCGAGTTGACGAGCCAAACGAATGTCAGTATTTTCGCGCCTAGCTGCTCGCGTGGCTTTAGCAGCGTTCGACAATGCCGCCCGTGCGGTGTCTGGTCACCGTGCCTCACCTAAAGGCTGCCAGGTCTTTCAAGCTCGAGGATGGATCGGTAAACTCTTTGAAACATGCGGTGGCTACGTGCCCCGTTCTTGGGAACTCCATCAAACTGTCTTCTGTCAGGTTTCAGGCAAGTGCCTCGTTTCTGTTGACATTTTCCCCGTGCTCGAACTGTAGCAGGTCACAGTAAGCTAAGTAAACGAAGGATAGAGAAGACACCGAACTGCGAAGCTGTGAACCACCTAATCCAGAAAAAAATATCGAAGTGATAAGATTTTAACCGCCTAAACCACCGTCATCTTCGAATCTATCTTGGAAAGGGTACATGTTATATGAGGAAATGACGTTTTAGCGCGAAGAGTAAAGTATAGACCGCATGAAAGCGATTTGGCGAGTGACGAGGCAAGCGTCGGTGAACCCGCTTCGCTGTCGCTCGGTCACTCGCGCGACGAGGCAATCCGCATGAAAGCAACGGGAGCAAGCGACATTGTAATCCAAAAGGAAGTGTCTAGAGTTCCGTCCAGGCGGAACGATGGTCGCCACTAAAGTAACGTCCAAGTTGGGTCTCGTATAAAGCAAATGTTGAAGGCTAGTTTCTGAAGGAGTAAAGCTATACGCACTCCGGAGTGCGCTTCGGACGGAAATGGCTACACGCACTCTGCGGAGAGCTCATGCCGCTCGGGTCACCCTTTTCGAATGGCACGTGTATCGCTGGGGAGCCCGCCTGCGTTCCCCCCGCTTCGCGGCGACAGTGTGAGGCTGCTAATTACAAAACGTAACCAGTACACGCCGCTTCGCGGCGTCCAGCCGGCAACCCAAGCCCCGCTGTCCCCGATCGCATCAGGAAAGGGAGTCCCGTACCATTTAGTTTTGCGAAGTTTCGTCGGCAACGAATCTTTTAGTGTTCACCGGGGGGGGAAAAAAAAAAAAAAAAAAAAAAAAAAAAAAAAAAAAAAAAAAGGTAAATATTGCCAAATGCTTCGACAAAACAAAATGTTTGAGAAAACGAAACAAAAAGAAAGTGGGACCACCGCGGATCGAACCCACGTCCACTAGCGTACGAAGCTGACACCTTAACCACTACGCTATGCCACCGCTTAAAAGAATGAGTTGTTGTGACTATTCCTTTTATATGAGACTAGCGGAGTGCGTATAGCCATTTCCGTTTGAAGTGCACTCCGGAGTCCGTAGGCTTTATCCTTTCTGAAGTGGTGGTGTAGTGTAGTGGAAAGGTGTCTGCCTTACACGCAGCGGGCCCGGGTTCGAACCGCAGTGTGGGTTTACTTCTTTTTTTTTCTTCTCGATTTTTTTTTGTCGGTATTTACATTTCTCTTTTACAATTATCTCTGAAAGACATGAAGGCATGTTGTCGACGAAACTTCGCTGAACTAAATGGCCGGAGGTGCAATAGGGCATAGCGGGTTTGGGTTGCTGGCTGGGCGGCGTGTACGGAGGGCTAAGTGGGTTAATAGGGAGTTTTCATAGACCGTTTTCGCCGTCCCGCAATGCCCTACGCAGCTTGCTATGATGTCGGAACTCTACAGTCAAGGGCATGGGCGCACAGGCGCAGTAGCGGCTTCTTCGTTGCAGAGGGCTTAGCGGTGAACGAAACATGGTCTACGAAAACTCCCTCTTAGTTTTGTAATTAGCAGCCGCATACTGTCGCCGCGAAGTGGCGTGAATGCAGGGGAGGGGGGGGGGGGGGTGTTAACGAGCCCCCCAATGATACACGCGCCGTCGGAAAAGGGTGACCCAAATGGCACGAGCTCTAGCTCCGCGTTCCAGACGGAACTCTAGTAGCAGCTATCGTTCCGTCTGGAACGCTAGCCACACCGTACGTCCAAATCGCCGCCTTCCCTAGGTTCACAGGGGCGAGAGAGGAGGGTGGGGGAGAAGGTTAGGCATATCCATTTCAGTGCTCTGTCTGGACGTAACGCTAGCCACAGCGTTGGACGTAACGCTAGACACCTCTTTTTTTTTTACTTTTTTTTTGTAGGGCATTTGACAATATTTACAGTAAGCTCTCCACGTCGTGCGTATGGCCATTTCCGGTCAACGTGCACGAGCTCGTGCCTATAGCCTTTACTCTTCATTGAATAGGACTGATTTGAGCCAGCACATATGAGAACTGAAAAGAAGCTAAGTGCCTCTGGAGCTGATTTACTAACTATATAAAAATATTTTTGGGTTAGATATATGTGAAGCTAGTCCATGCGCATACATTTTACAGATGCTGGATTTGGTATTTGAAGAATACACTGACCTTGCTGCGGACGACGAAATACATGACATGGCTAAAATCACTCTCCTGCCCATTGTAACTGTCCCAGAGGGTGGGCCAGGCTCATCTTCCACTCAGGTATTTGGTTTTGCAACAAGTTCAAGGTATATCAAGCATTAATGAAAAAAAAAAAAAAGAAACGGTTTATTACTAGGAATATAATCACAACTGTGATAGGCTGTGTCTATACGAGCGTTTTTTTAATTTTTTATTCTTTAAAAATTTTTTAATGGTGATAGCTATGTTAATGCCGCCTTCACTGTATGTTTGTGGAGCTTGGTGCCTGATTATGATTGGTAGAAAAGCGTCCTGTCACTTCTGTACGTCCGTCACTATCCAGCAAGTGTGACGCCGGCGCCTCCAGCAGACACGCTGTCTATCGAGATAGTGGCGAAGGGCATGAAACACGGGCGTCACTTTTTTTTTTGCATCATAATCAGGTGCACCTTTCAGCGTGTGGTTTTGAGTTAACCCTTTAGACGCCGAGGACGAGTCTGACTCGTCCACGGAGTTCGTCCCGCAAATGCCAAGGATGAGTGTGGCTCATCCGCTCGTTTCAGCCCGTGTCTGTAGTGCCAGCGACGAGGCACGCTCGTCCAGTCTATTTTAGAGCTCAGCTCTTAGGGGCCCGTTCCCGGCTTGAGCGGCGTCGCCGTCGGCGTCGGCGTCGCCGTCGCCGTCGCCGTCGGCGTCGGCGTAACCAAGGTCATCCCAAGGTCACGTGACCCCCAAGGTCACGTGACCCCTCCCAAGGTCATCTCAAGGTCACGTGACCCCACGTGACCCCCTGAAGGTCACGTGACCCCTCGAGGTCACGTGACCCCTTCCAAGGTCATCTCAAGGTCACGTGACCCCAAGATGACCCCACGTGATCCTTTGAAGGTCACGTGACCCCCGTCACGTGACCCCTCTCAAGGTCATCTGAAGGTCACGTGACCCCACGTGACCCCGTGAAGGTCACGTGACCCCTCGAGGTCACGGGACTCCTTCCAAGGTCATCTCAAGGTCACGTGACCCCAAGATGACCCCACGTGACCCTTTGAAGGTCACGTGACCCCTCTGAGGTCACGTGACCCCCGAGGTCACGTGGTCGCCTCCCCAAGGTCACGTGACCCCCGAGGTCACGTGACCCCCGAGGTCATCTCAAGGTCACGTGACCCCCAGGTCACGTGACCCCTCTGAGGTCACGTGACCCCCCGAGGTCACGTGACCCCTCCAGGTCACGTGACCCCAAGGTCACGTGGGGGTCACCTTTGGGGTCACGTGGCCTAGAGGTCACCCCCAGGTCACGCCTCCCCGAGGTCACGTGACCCCCTCCCCGAAGTCACGTGACACCCCCCCCCGGAGCATATTAAAGAATGAGGGGAGGAGGAGGAGAAGGGGGAGGGGTCTACCCTCCCCTCAGTACCCTTCACTCCTCCTCCTCAAGAGCTGCGCTCCAATTCGGCGTTACAGGGATTTGTAAACGGCTTTCACTTTTTTGTGTTGAGAATAGTTCTCCCGCTAGCCAGCAGGAGAAAAAGCGAACCAGAATTTCGCTAATTTTTGCATCATTTTGAGAATTTATCATGCTCCTCCGGCAACATGGGTTTTTAAAAATGGCGTCTCTTTCGAGTGGTGACATGCATCGCTCGTCTAGTCGGAAGCGCGTTTCTTTAGTTGATGATGAGTTTTCTACAGGGTGAAACAAGGAGACGGCACGCTCTTTAAATCGACCGGAAAATTCGGTTTCTTAACCTATCGCGCTACGGCTTTGTGCAGCGTTGCCCACAGATGGTGCATTTTTTTTGTAAAATTTGCAAAGAGCGAACTTACCCGAGGAAAAAGTAAAGAAAGAAAAAGGCTTAGCTCCTATGGAAACACAGCGAAGCCACCGGTCTTCAAACAACACGGCGCCGGTTAGCACGGGACACAAGAGGTGGCGCAAGCGGTCGCGACGCCAACTGCCTCCAACGAACGAGCAGACGACGCCGAGACTCGAGAGCCGGCGTATTTAGCAGACAAGGAACTGCAGTTCTTCGTTGTTACTGCGCCTGTTTTTTGTTTCTGCGACTGTCGCCGCCTGCGGAACGCGCGTCGCTTTTGAGTCGAAAAGATTGTCTGCTAATGACGCTGGCTCTCGACGCCGTATGCTCGTTCGTTGACGGCGTTCGTTGCGCCATCTCTTGTGTCCCGTGCTAACCGGCGCCGTGTTGTTTGAAGACCGGTGGCTTCGCTGCGTTTCCATAGGAGCTAAGCCTTTTTCTTTCTTTACTTTTTCCTCAGGTAAGTTCGCTCTTTGCAAATTTTACAAAAAAAATGCACCATCTGTGGGCAACGTTGAACAAAGTCGTAGCGCGATAGGTTAAGAAACCGAATTTTCCGGTCGATTTAAAGAGCCTGCCGTCTCCTTGTTTCACCCTGTAGTTTGGATGATGATGACTTTGCGCTAGACGATAGTGACGGAAGCGGGGAGTCCGCGGAAGAGTTTGAAAGCTCAAGTGACTCGGACCTTAGCGGCGATGAGGTCCATGCTTCGGCGCGAGACTGGAAAAGTGTGGACACGACAAATCCTCCATGAGCCCCTCCCCGCTTTCCCTTTATTGCCACGCCGGGCGTCACGACACCCGTCGACACGTCGCTCGTCGAACACGACACCCTCAATGCTGTTGGGTACTTGTAACTCTTGCTAAGCCAGACATAATGACTCTGGTCGTCAATGAGGCAAAGAGGTACCTATGCCGATCAACACTTGGCGACCGCGCTGATCTCAAGGGGATCCCAAATGAAGGCGTGGTAACCGGTGACGGAAGCAGAAATGAGTCTTCTTCACCCTGCTGCTTCTACAGGAAATAGTAGACAAGCCAGTTGTCGAGTGGTATTGGTCAAAGCGCACAGTGATTGAAATCCTAGTGTTTGGGGAGGTGATGAGTAAGAGCAGATTTATTTTGCTCACGAAGTTTTTCCACTTTGCGAATAATGGAGATGATGCTGGTAAAGTGGGGCAAGCTCGTCAAAAACTTCTCAAGATCTGGCCGGTGTTGTTGCTCATGAAGGACCGCTTCAAAGCAAGCGGTCTCGGTTCCCATTTTTAATTTTTTTGCCTCACATGGCCTAAGATTGGATCAATTTTGGTTTTCAGTTGTTAAGCTTTTATACCCATGTCTTACATGCTTGAAATAAGGAAGAATTCTTCTATCAAAGTGTGCTATAAAAAAAATTTGAATTTTGGGTACATTTTTTCGAAAACTGGCTGGCGCTTAAAGGGTTAAGCAAAAAAAGGAAAAATTAACAGATGAATATCTCAAAGCCTGTTGCTTTTTCGGGAACCGTGTCAATTGGGTTGGCTTTTATTAATGGCCACCTTTAAAACTACAATAGACCCTTTCCGGAATTCAGTCTGGCCACTTTGATCACTATCATCATCATCTGAAAACGCCATATGTGCTACACTAATGGCGGACTTCTGTTTACTGATGAAGGAAGTTGAAGATGCTCCTGAGCATCTTCATCTTCAGACCCTCAGGGCTAGGGTGACCAGACGTCCCGTTTTGGCCGGGACAGTCCCGTTTTTCAGGTCCATTTCTGCCGTCCCGTCTTTTTATCCCAATATAGAATCATGTCCCGTTTTCGCAGAAGTACATAGTTTCAAAATTGGCACCAAGCGAGTAGAAGCAAACTGCAACTATGCCTATTCGTTGCAAGTATATTTTACAAAACTAACCGTAGGTACTTTACAATATTTACCCAGAGAGTAAAATTTAGGACTGTTCTTGCCCACAAACACTTTTTCTTTCGCGAGGACGGTAGAAATATTTTTTTTTTAGTTACTGGATATAGCACGGATGTAGAATCATGTAGGAATAGCACGCATGTAGAATTTAATTACATTTTTTCTCAAACTTTAGTACCCCCCCCCCCCCCCCCCCCCCCCTTTACCGCTGGGATGTCCCGTTTTCTACCTTGAGGAATATGGTCACCCTACTCAGGGCCTGAGGACATTGCAGAGGGGAGTGTGTTACAAGGAGACATCAAAAGCAAACAAACAACAATCAAAAGCAAACAAACGACAATCTTAAGAATGAAAAAAATACATAATAATGAAATGCTAAAAGTTAACACTGTTAAGGCATCGTTTAGAAGCGATGGAATCGGATATGGATGCCACAGATGCTGGAAGGTGATTCCATAAGACCGTCGTCTGAGGTATAAATAAATTATAAAAAGTTGTAGTGTTACATTGAGGAATGCCCATCTGTGGATGGTCAAGAAATTATGATATGTAAAGAGGTGTCAGTAACTTGTCACATAGCAGAGGATTATAGTAATAAATTTTGTGGAACAGACACACTGTTAAGATTTCCACGTAATGCAAGGTTAGGTAGGTTCAAACTTATTTTCATTGATGTTACACTGGCAGTGCAGTGATAATTAGCAAGGATGAAACAAACAGATCTGTTCTGAATTGCTTCAAAAGCCAATATCAACACGTTAATGCCAGGGTTCCCAATTCAAGAGGCATATTCCAGCTTAGAGCGCACGAGCGTTTTGTAAAGAAGCACCTTGAGAGATAAGGGAACTGATGAGAAGTTCAGTGTGATTGTTCGCCTGCACTCAAGCACGTAGACCAAAGTATAGGGTGGTCCAAGTCACCAGGATCGATATAAAATGGATCATAGAAATCGACACCTGCACGTAGCAATCTAGACTTTTTGTCAGAGGTGTATTTCACATGTCGCTTTCCTTTTGTAAAATTAGAAAGCGTAGCTCTCTTTCTGTAAAAAATAAGGCCAAGAAACTTGCCAGGGTCTACGGCGGACAGTGACGCAGACGACAGGGGTCTAGTAGCAAGGTGTGTTTGGCGTTCGTATAGATTGATGGGCTACCTCCTTACTGCGACGGCTTGCGACCAAGGTTTTATAAAATGAAGATAATTCTTTGACGCATCTCACGTACATGGACCATTGTGTTCTGCTGCGTTCCCTGGGCAATGGAGGAACCAGGCACGTATCCAGGGGGGCCCATGGGGCCCGGCCCCCTCCCCCCCCCCCCCCCAATATCTTCCATTTTGCTGGGGCCTCCTCTCCCTCCTCCCCCTCATACAGCATTTGGCCTCTGCCCCCCCCCCCCCTCCCTCCCTCCCTCCCTCTTCCGAAACAAGACCCTGGCTAAGTGCCTGGGAGGAACACGGGCGCTTCACAAGACTGATACACGCATGTGTCCTCACCACATGCAGTTTATTCAGGGAACACAGCTGATAGCTCAGGTGGTAAAGCACTTGGCTCACACACAGTAGGCCCATAGTTCGATCCCTGGCAGCGGCAAAGTGTAACAAATGTTTTAGAGCATTCATCAATATCGACGACGGTTTCTCTACACCATCATTTCAAAGCGGGGTGAAGAGCCCATAACAGCTATCGCTTTAAAATGAGGTTGAGAAAAAGCATGTGAGACGCCTATAACATATTTATTGTATTTCTGTTTTTTTTTTTTTTATATGCTTCTACATAGCAAAATTTTTTTTCTTTTTTTTTTAATAATCATTTTCTTATAAAATAATTGCACTATTTTTAGGCCTTCGTGTTCAGACGACGATGGGAACACCTTCATTTTCCCCAAGCTTGGAGCTCTCCATGATACGATCATCTCTGGCAAACCTCTGACATCTTCATCATTCCGAAAGATTGTGGAGCTCCTCTTTCGTGCAATGGTGAACATAACAGTGTAAGTAAGGTGGTCTCAAAATTCGGACTTATTCCTAGCTTCATCATTTCCAGTTCCTTTCATGGGTGACTTCTTTGTGGGCACCGGTCAACCTTTGTCTTGCTGTATCTTTCTGTATCCAGCTAAACCTATGTCTTAAATCACAGTATCGAAGCAGGTGAAACTGATTTTTGCAATATATTTGAAGTGGGTTTAATCCCTCTAACCCTCCTTGTATACAAAAAAAAAAAAAGTAATTCGGAAAAAAAGCTAGGTTGCTTCTTTCTGGTCCTTATCTTGCCAAATTTTGTGCAGTGGTAAACATAGTAGATTGATGGCTTATTTGCGTTGTTTCACAAGTGCATCTTTGTGCTGAATTTTAGGCTTCTTGGTCGAGACCGCTGCGCCAAAAATGAAATTAGTCAGTTCAGGCTAGAGAAATGTTTGGTTAGTTAGGTCACTTCTTGTCATTTGCTAGAAGCAATCCATGCCCTCGCTGTATTTACAGGTGTATGTGTTGCTGGTGTGTAAAATTAATGGAAGCTTTAAGTAACTTGCTCGTTTTCCTTCAATAGGACAACATGTCTCTTTGTCGAAATTCATATTACAAGAATTTGCTAAGCGGAAAATGTGTAGATATTCCTTTTTTTTTTAAATATCTGAAAATTTGGTGCGACTAGTTATAATCGATTGGGGGTCATTGGCATGTTTAAAACATTGATGCACTGTTTACCATCTGAACAATACCTTGCATCTTCCTCGCGTAGGCTCAGTCTGCATACGGGACCTATTGATTCACAATGTGGGTTATAATATTAGAGATTGTTGAGCCATAAGAATGGGCACGACTTTTCTGCAGGTTCCCATCTCAGCACTTTTACTCCAAGGTCACTCAGCTACTAACTGACAAGTACCCTCAGCTCCAAGATGTTATAGGAACTGGATCAGTAAGCACATTTCTTTTGCACGTTTATAATAATAGCTGCGATCAATTCTTAGCATTGGTGCTTCTATACATCTTTCCAAAAAACGCTCCTAGGCCGCCGCCATGTTGCTGATGCTGATGCAGCTGGCCCTCTATCAGCTAGAAATTTTCTGCCACCCTCTTGGACTGTGAACACCCGCTCAGTGCGGTTCTCTACCTGTTTTGGCGGTTTTGCATTCAACGTTTTCTCGCCCCTCTTGAAAGTTCCCACTTAATTTTTTTTATGAGTGCTGCATACCCTTTCTGTGTTATCTTCCATTGTGATATATAAGACTGGTAAGTGCCTGCCATTCAAGCTTTTCTGCTCGACATTCATGGGAAACGAAGGAAGTGATGGACGTCGAACTGCCCTCAACGCGATTTTGCAAACATTCTTCTCCCCCCTCCCAGAGATAATCCGCATAGAATCCTCGGTCATCTCCAAAAATAGTTGTCTGGGTTGGGGTGGGAAACGGGTCAGTCGCGTTTGTTCCTTTACCTTGGTGCTTTAGTGAAAAAGAAAGCTCTCCCCAGCTCAAAGGTGAAAAGAGTATAGCTGGACGCCATAATTTCATTCCTTGGCGCAGGAACGATTCCCTTGGTAGGCTCCCAATAACTGATATCGCAGCAAAAATGCTATGGCTGGACCTAAATTTAAATTTAGATAGTTGTTCAAGCTGTGGTATTTCTTTATTTTACAGGACTCGTGGAGAGTAGCACTGCGGTACAAGTTCAAAAATGAAAGACGTCGCCTTTCAGACGACGTCCGGGTTGCTGAAAACCGTGCAAAATTTGGATCAAAAAGACCAAATGATGGAGGTGCAGCCACACAGCTGAAGCGGCAAAAAAAGATTAAGCTGGTGAGGGGCAATGTTTAAACTTTCCGGGATAAACTTGGAAGATCAAAAATTGCTGATGTGGTTCGGATGCGGATATCGTGTCTGCATAGTGGATGATCAAATTGTTATCTACGCATGGTTTTCTTTCTACTCATCAGTGTCTGCCTTAGAAATCAACGAAACGCTTCCATCAATCAGATAACGCGAATCGGGAAAACTACAATGGTTTATCCCGTCTCCGCGAGTAGGTGGAAGCATGAAATGCTTTCGAGTGGAAAGGATTCGGAAAGATGATGATGGCAGGGAGCTCGATTCATTCCGATTCGATGGTTGGCACTCACTGGAAGCTCACCTGAGATTGGAGCTCACCTGGAAGCTCTCAAGATCCCAGGCGAGCTTCCATTAAGTGTCAATCAGTGATTTGGAACCAGTGGAGCCTCCTGCAATCGTCCTTCTTCTTGGGTCCTTGTCTCACAATGTCCATAAGATCTGAGAACATGCAGCACTCTAATGAGCAGAAAGAGTACTACCCTTGTCGCACTATGGTTTTCGAGATCACTGGCACGTAAAGCTCCTTGCACATCGCCAAAGAGCTTTGCACATGAGCAATCTTCAAGACTTCGTTAACACTACAATTTCTTCCTGTTGTGCGACGGCCATGTTCAGTAGCATACTTGAAAACCTTAATCTTCAAACCGCATGTTAGCTAATGTATGAAACCATCGTGGAAACCCCACGATCGTGCTGTTGGGGCAACCATAAGCTATAGACATTTGCAGAAAAAGCTCTCTGGCCGCCGCCATTTTGCGAACCAAGCGGCCCCTACCAGCCATAAATTTCTGCCACCTGCCTGAGCTGTGGAAACCCGGTCAGCATGACTCCCCAGCTGCATTGTGCATTCAGAGTTCGCCAACTTTTCTTGGAAATTTTTACTTTATTTGCCTGTTTAGGATGCTTACCCTTTGTGTGATATCATGCACTGTGAGAACCAGGGAATACCAGGGCTCATAGCCTGCTCGGCCTTCGCAGGAAACAAACGAAGAGAGTGAACGTCAAGCAACTCGCGAGTCGTGACGGAGGCAGTTCGACATTCTTGAAGGATTATTTCCGTTGAGATAATCTCCAGAAAGCCTTCCCGACTTGTGTTCCGAGTCTTCGCGAAAAATAGCTGATAGGGTCGGGTCCGGAGTGTTTGCTTTGAAGCTGTGCAAAAAAGCAGCTCTCTTCTACATGTGCCCAAAACACGCCGGATTCCGTCTGATCGTCGTGAAGTTACTATCGTCGACACTGTTTATTGGATATGCTGTGTTATTTGAGACCTTTCTCAAATCCTGTTCGGATAACGCGGCATTGTGGGGTACGTACAATATATGTTGTTCGATTGATGAGACTCGTTGAATTTCATTTTGTGGGCGAGTAAATCTATGCAGTTTGAATATCCTGTGCGGTCAAATATTTTTGACGGTTAAGATCTTTGTAGATTGACAAGGCGGAGTGTATGGTGCCGTAAAAAGACCAACATAAAATAAAACAAACATCCCAGTTGCATTCGTTCTGTCGCTCACGGACTCACCAAAACAGCTTTCGTTGCTTTGTTTTTGTTCTCAAAAATAGTACAGAGCATTCTTAAAAACCCCGAGAAATTCTATTTGCCATAGAATACAAAAGAAAAATAGAACACGGCAATTTAGCCTCCACCAGCGTCCGAAAGTGTGCCCACGCAGGCTGCCACAGCCCACTGACGAGAAACTCCACAGCTCAGCGCAGTCTGGCAACACTGACTTATCCTCTCAAAACCAGGGATGCCTGCTGTAAATCGCTTCGTTCGAGACTGCCGCTTGAAAGGTCTATAGGCAACTTTCAAAAATCCTGCCATGCAACATTGCATGCGTTGCACGCTCGGAACAGTTGGCTGCGAAGCTGAGTGACATGGTTTCAGTCGAACAGGCGTTGTCTCTGCTTGCGCGACGAAACATGTGCAATCGCAAGTATGCTGAAGTTTCTCTCGCGTAAAACATCAACCAAGGCACCTGCAATTTTTTTGCTTAAAACCTGGCATGCTCGAAACCAATAAAATAGTGGCCAGTGTTTTTTTAATTGCTTGGCGACATTTATGGTATTTTACACTTGTGGGATGTCTCAGTTGTGAAAATGAAGTAGCGAGTTCCATTATGACACAATAATCATGGCAAATATCTGAAGCCGGAACTAAATGGCCCGCTAGTACCCGGAATTCATTTCTTGGCATCTCCTCACCAGGGGCCGCCCCGATTCGGAAAAAAGCTTATTGCAAAATGGCGGAAGGTTCATTTCTTCCCACGACCCCGGCTTGGCTTGGCCACCTGGAGATGGAGGTCGTTCCTTCCCATGATCGTCTAGCTGTTTATCGCTCAAAGTGGCGCATAAAAAAATTTGAACGTTCCCACCTCGTGATACAAAGTTGGGGGTGCATTTATTGAGCAAGGTGCAAGGAAATATGTTATATATTTTTATCTGGACTGTTTCCTTTTTTATATTGTGTGTTTTCTACTGTTTGTGCTCCCGTAGGGTAATGCCTTGGGCAATGTTAGGTCAAATGATTGAATTCAATTTTACCTTATCAGAAATTTTGGCATGCTAAGAGCATCAAGCACTAAAAAGGTAGTCAGTTGTTGTCCTTCTGTTAATGAATATTCATGTCTAAATCGCGCCCTTTCGATCATGCCTCTCAAGAACATCACTGCTTCGGCTTTGGCTGGAGAGGACGAAGCCAGCCTGATCGCCCATGAGGAATGGCTTATACGAGAAGGACGAAAGGCAGCTCCTGATGAAAAAGGAATCCATGAAAGGATGACTCTCACTGCGAGGAAGAGGCTCTCTGACATGGCACAAATGGGCATTGATGCTGTTAGGACAAGGTACCCATACCTGATGGACTCTCAGCGAGTGAGTCATTGCTGCTACTCTTCCGCTTTATTGAATACGAAGGTGTTGTTGACTTTTTTTTTGTACTCTTGTTTGAATACAGAAACTCTTATTGAAGGGACACTGACAGGGTGTTTATGCTCGCCGATGTTTTTAGTTGTACATGGCTTATGAGAACCCAACTGCCCAGAACAGAATTTGAGGCTCAAAATTCAGTTTCTTTCCGCCCGAGGACCGCCACGAGAACTGGCCGGTTCGAGTTGCGCTCTCTCTCTTTGTGATCACGGGCTGTTTTCTAAGGTTTAGACACAACCACCAAATTTAATCAAAGTCGTGGGTCATTGAAGGCACACAGTCAATATTAAAAATAGCAAAAAGATGAAACCCTTTTTTTGTGACTTCTAAAAAGCTGTTAATAAGATTATTGAGGAAAAAAAAAGTTGCACAGAGAACCGGACGCATTCTGTGCATTTCCTCGTTCAATAGCCCTTTTGCGAAATCCCCCAAGCGCCCTGGCCCGCGCGCGAGGAATTGTGGGAGAGACTGTCCCTGGCCTGGCCACTCTGCCTTGAGATCGCATTGCCTCGTCGCTCGTCTCCTCATAATCTTGTTTTTTGATTTCATTACCTATTTTTATATGTTCAAGTGTATATTTATTGGTTCTAAGTGTTTCTATTTTCTTCTGTGCGCAGTATTTTTTGCATATATATAGTTTTTGTCTTTATTATGCCTTTTTCGACGGGAGTGCTGACGAACAACAGGCCGCTTCGCGTGTCGTTCTCCGGGTGAGTGTTATCGTTGCTACTGGTTCCTGTCGTGCTGTTAGCTGTTCATTTTGGTTCACTTGACCCGCGTGCAGTCGTGAGGAGCCGTTTATGAACACCCACGCAGATGTCATAGGGGTAGGCAGACTCTAAATCAAGAATTGCGACGCGAGAGCAGAGTGCGCTGTGATTTAGCCGCCCGCGCCTGCTCCGTTGACTCGCAGTGCAGCGTATGCCTTCGGGTGCCGCTTGCTTGACCAAGATACAGCAAGCTGCTTTGTCGCTGCGAACCATTTGTCCGAATGTTTGCAAAGCTGAGGCATATGCAACGCTGTGGCGTTTGACAACTGCGCGCTGCGGTGCGATCCCTTTGCAAATGCCGACGGCTCAATGTCGCGGCTTGAATGTGCCTATGGCATGCCTTCATAATCTTTCTTTTAAGCGGTTGTCATTTGCCAACGCCCTTTTTCAAGTGCAGAGATAAGTTGCCGCGAATCATTTGTCCGAATGCCTGCAAAGCCGTAGCACCGTTTGTCATATCCAACGCTGCGGTGCCTGACAAACTGCGCTCAGCGGCGCGAGCCCTTCGCAAGCGCCGGGCGGCCCAACATCGCGGCTTGTGTGCGCTTATAGTATGCCTTCTTAAACTACTTGCTAAGCGGTTGTCAGTTAAAAGCACCCCTTTTCAAGTGCAGAGGTGTGCTGTCTCCCAGGCAGTCATCTTGAAACTCGTAGTTCCTTCGATAATTTTATTTCTCTAGTCAAGATGTCAGCTCAAGGTATTTTATTTCTTTAGGTCACTTTCAGCAGTAACATGCCCTCATAGTACAGTTTGCTGTGTGCCAGGCTGTACAAACAGTACTGCCGGCGGACGGCATGTTTCCTGGCACTGCTTCCCAAAAGACAGCGTCCTGCGAAGCGTTTGGGTGAAGACAACTGCGTGCAGTTGTGAGGCGCTGCAAAGTTGGACATGCCGAACAGTGTTACGGTTTCGCAGGCATTCAGACAAATGATTCGTGACAGCAAAGCGGCGGGCTGTATCTTACTCAAGTAAGCGGTATTGAAGGCACATGCTACAGTGCCAGTCAACTAAGCGACGCGAGAGCCGAGTGCGATTGAGCCACCTGCACTCGCTTTGTTGACTCGCACCGCACTCGGCTCTCGCGTCGTGATTGTTGATTCAGAGCTCTGCCTACCCCTATGACATGGGTGCGGGTGTTCATAAACGGCTCCTCTCGACTACACCTGGGTCAAATGAACCAAAAATGAACAGCTAACAGCACGATAGGAATCAGTAGCAATGGTAGTACTCACCCGCGGAACGACACGCGAAGCGGCGTGTGCAGAAGAGAATAGAAACATTTATAAGCAATAAAAAATACAGTGGTACAGATAAAAATAGGTAATGGAAATGAAAAACCGGATTAAGAGGAGACAGGCGACAAGGCAATGCGATTTCAAGGCAGAGCAGCCAAGCGAGGGAGCCTGTTGAGTGTTAGCAACATCCTAGCTAATGCAGCGACCAACGACTTAGTTGGAAGCTATGGTTCACAGGCCAGGTTTGGAGATCCTATCAACTCTATGCCATACTGCATGAAAAGGACTCGAGGGTCCGAAAGAAAAGAGTAAGAGATTGCATGTGAAGAAGAAGGTTTGATATTTCATCAGCGTGATGTCTGTAGTACCAATTATTTCTCTGCACTCTTGCAAGACTTGCTTGGCGAGTCAATAGACATATTAAGAACTTCAGAAGCAAAGGGAAGTTAAAAAAAATAATGTTACTAAAAAAAGAAACTTGCGTATTGTGTGTTCGTATGTTTGTTCCTAAAGCCCTTCCCACACCTTCAAGTTGTGGTAAATGGGGGATTCGGCCAACTCGCTGAAAGCCGACTCATCGACAGTCAATTCGTAGTATAGGCCAATTTGTTGTAGGACAATTCATCAAAAGGCAACTTGTCGAAAGGCAACCTGGGACTGTCATTTAACCCATTCGAGGCCGATTCCTCGAATGGGTTAAATGACGGTCCCAGGTAAAAGTTCATGGTTCCTTGTTATCTTTTGATCTAAATTTTTATTTGTGTTTGGACTAGGGATAGCGGTCTTTTTAGGTTTTAGGACAGTACCTTGAGACAAGTTTAGAAATGTAAATTTCGGGATTGTCCTTTTGCTAGTTTTCTTTATTACTTTTTGTAATGAGCCGCTGCGGACTGTTGCCGCGAAGCAGCGTGGACGGGTAGGCCAAGCAAACTCACACGTGCCACAGTGATGCACACGCGACGTAGTAACTGTCCCCCACTGCACCGTGAAAGTGGAGAAAGCTGCAAGTTGTTATCTTCGACAAGAAAGAGCGCACTGGATGTTTATTACGATACGGCGATATTACGCATTACTATAGGGCAGGATTTGCTTTAACATTTCAGGACAAAATTATATATTATGGCTTTGAAACAGCGGCGACCAGTTGGCGTCTTCGACTAATTTTTCTTCGACGATTTGCCTTATGACGATTCGGCCTATTCGACAAATGGGCTGCTGACGAGTTTACCGTCGATGAGTTGGCTTTCGGTGAGTTGGCCTAGACTCGGTAAATGGTAGTGCCAGTAAAATCTGAATTTAGGCGTTGTTTCTTGTTTCCCTTATTTAAATTAATGAACAAGTGCCAATTTCTTTGTAAATTTTATTAAAGAAATGCCGTGGCATATTTCCTGAACTTTCAATTTTTATATTTTCTTTTGTGAAGTTCGCTAAAGATTTCGAGAGGCTCACGAAGATGAACCTGGCCGACAAAGTCGCAAAAGGGATTGACAAGATCGTTCTGTTGGCCACAAAGAAGGCGATCGACTGCCAGGAGCATGTCCTACTTACACTGCAAGCAGCACCGCACATGGATCTGGGGAGGCTCAGGACACGGCGTGAGTACAGTAAGAAAACCGCTGCGCAAGGGAGGCTTTTCGACCAAGCGATAAAATACCACCATTCAATGCATGCATGGGAAAAGATAGTAAAAAAACAAACAAAAAACTTTCAGTCTTTCTCTTTTGTTGAGGAAGGAAGACTAGCGGAGCTGCACTATGGTGGGAATGAAGTAATGGCCGATCGCTAGTCGGCAAGCCAGAGTGGAAAGGTTGCGGCCATCTATGATGGTTGCTGCCGTCTCCTATATATGGCGGTAGCTGTCCAGAGTTCTGTGTCATCGGGTTATTTGAGGACTGACACGACCCTGGGGAAACTAGCCGCTAACAGCTCCACTGTAAAAAAAATAACCGAGTTTATGTGTGCAACCACGTTGGCGCATTGCTCGGCTGAGAAGTAAGCGAAACTATAGCTTTCAAAATGCGGCCTTTAGGGTGGGCTGCTTTGTGCTGGCCTCCCCTGTATTGAAAGATGGAACGTGACTGGCACTCTCGCTATCAGCGCGCTCGGAAACAATAGTGCTACGTGCTGCAATTTTGCCGCTCTGGTCGTTGGTCGCTCGTGCTAATCTTTTTCTGCTGCAGCTGTACATGCGCAGCGCCTTGGCAGAGGAGAACCCTCTGCCAAGGTGCAGGCAGCGTGGTGGAGGGCCGTAGAGGACAGACATTTGGGCTGCACACCAGTGTATGGGGAATAACTTTGGGAGTTTGTATCATACTCCCAAGGTTATTTCCCCGTGGTGATTTGAATTGTTTCATACCATTTGGTGACATGTCCAATGGCTTATCTATAATATTATGTTGCACCCATTTAGGTCGTTCTGGTGTGTTGCCTTCTTTTCTTTTAGTGGGGACAGGCTTGGCCAAGTGAACATCTTAGTATTTGTCTGAAGTTCCCTCATTGTCACTGATCCTACTGGAAGATAAGCAGAACAATGCATACATTTTTTTTCTGAAACCGTCCAGGACACGTGCAACGAAGAGTACAAAAATGTATTTGATATCTTGCACAAATGTTGTTGGTGTTTTTCAGACATCCTGACTGTTGCAACTCTGCGCATTTTGGCACTGAACGTCAAGGAGTCAACATCACTGCCCCTAATGTTCGTGCAAGAAGATGTAAGTTATTTCACTATATTTTTTCGAAAGTTGATGCTAGCAAGAACAAAGTTCCAGCCTACCTTCAATGTAGCAGGGTTAAATAAATGCTAACTAAAGAGGTTTTTTTGTTGTTTTTTGTGGGTAGAGTGTTCGTTTTTTTTTTGTTTTCACGGTATGTTTTTTCATAGTGCCCGCAGGGGCTAGAATTGGAGCCTTCTGAATACATATTAGTGACCATGTTGATGTCAAAGGAAACAAACATGTGAAATGCACATGAATACAAGTCCTGAAAAACCAATGAAGGCTGGAAGGTGGCAGGCATGCTGATCTTTCTAGGGTTTTCAATACAGAGACAGTGTAGCGTGTTAACTGGCTTCCAACAGTTCAATAGCAGCTTGTTCACCTGGCCCCTTTTGTTAATGGGGTGTCCCAAACATTAGGCCCACCAGGCCCCAAATACTTCTGTAACGCTCAAGAGATAATGGCCACCTAAATTACAGAGATATAAAGTAAAAATTTGAGGCGAACCAAGTTTCGGGTACAATGGCTGAAACGCCAAAAACCTAATAGTCTGGCTTCCAAAACACAGCCATGCTCAACGTGCCTCATGCTGGATTTTCACTGCTCCGGTTGGTGTTCGGACGGGAGAGATATGGCCAGCGACTGCACATAAAATGTAAATGTAGCTCGTGAAAATTAATTTATACAACTACATACGAGACATTGTTATGTTTGCTGTTTTCTGGAACCTTCATCTTTGGGTTTTTTTAGTGTAGAGGAGGAAGCAAAAAAATTAACATTGGCCAACGAACAAATAATAGCATGTACCGTTATGGTCAGTCGGTAGCCCTGTACGGTTCATAAATGCGGGGTGGCGAGGTAAGCAGGGTGCGTCCGTGGCAGACATAGATTGTAGCACCTGAGCTGCCTGCCTTCTGTCGGTGTTTGCCCCCTTTTTTCTCCTTGAAACTTGTCTGCCCTTGGCTATGTTCGCTGATACCGATAAGAACCCATTATTGCACCCAATGAGCGCTGACGACCGATGACACTGCCTGACAAAGCGTGTCTGCGCAAACATCCCTGCTTTTTGTCTTCTCTTCCTTCTGCACGTATTGTTTCTCATCTGTGCATTTGTTGGTGTCCTCTTATCCAAACAATAACCTCAAATGTACACAGGAAGGCTGCTGTCCGCATAAAGAAACCAGGCCACTGTAAAAGTGAGATGTGATAGCAAAGCAAAAAATCACTCTCATGGTGAAAACGAACCAGTGATGCGTCAGATTTTTGGCGTGACTTTTATTTTTTTTTATCTCCAGACCTGTACTCATTTCCAACAATAAATAAGTCTAGCAGCGTATCATAATGCATCGGAAAAGTATCTCACTATTGAAATGCAAATAGGTTTCACAAATGCATCTTCATACTGAAATAGAGATACTAAAATATATCTCTAAGCTTATATCGCAATATTTTCATGTCGTGATGTTTCCCCAATTGTAATTCCTCATTCATTTTACATTGTTGCAGATGCCGGTTACTTATTTAAACATAAGCAATGCTCATGGCCTGAACTGGAGTGAATAATAGCAGTTGACAAGAGCAAACATGTTTTGGCCTTCTACATTAAAATATGTTGTGCGTTTTCCTTTTACCTAACGCAGGATGAAAACATCCCACCGACACCGTGTGTCCTGTACAGCGGGCAAGACTTAGAGGATGCAGACTTCTTTCACCTGGTTGTTGATCGTGAGAGGTTGTTCTCCGTTCCAAATGCCGAGGAGGGGCTGTGTATGTTGTTGGCAGCCTATTGGTTGTTCAGTATACAATATGAACGGAAGGCCTTCAACATGCTCGTCACTCTGGAGAGGCTTTTTCTCGGCATGAGCCACACAACTCCAAGGGCAGTGGTAATTAAATTTTCAAACAAAGTTTGCAGGCACGTGCATGGTTGAAGCAATGATTTGTGCTTCAACCACACGCGCATTAACTGCTTCGTTACGGTTCAGTTTGAGCTTTTTCTTTTTTTTTTTTTTTTTTTTTTTTTACGGTGTTAGTTTGCAGGCTCTGTAAAAATGGATGTCCACCCACGGGACAGTGGGGCTTTACAGTTCAAGTAAGGAAAATGAACACATATTTTATTCAACATTTTATAAGTTAATTTTTACAAAATAGGTTTTGGGAAGAATAGCAAAACTGGAGTGATACCGGCAGAGAAATGAGGCTCATTTATTGGTACGAAAATCAAAGAAGCAGTGCCAGTCAGTTTCAGTGCAGAGGTAGATTTCACAGGACGTGCAATGGTGCTGAGTTTTCTTTGAGGAGCCAGGGTTCCTGCACTGTGTAGCATTCTTGACGTCTTCTTTCTTTGGCACGTGAAGTGCCTGCGCCGTCTGGACTGGCGAGTTCGGCAGTGGCTTGACTCTCTTGCGCGGAACCTGTGGCACCGCACAAACTTTCTAAAATGGCATCAGCCTGACTTGTTAGTCCTGAAAATCGAGCACAATCAATCAAACCAATTGTTTTCACTTCGCGAGTGTTTCAGATTGGTGCGAGCAAAACATGATCATCGCGAAATTCGTGTCATAAGTTTTGGGTCCCAGCGTCCACCCACGTAGACAGTTTGACAAGGGACTACTATAACCCTTGCTAATACTGTTGAAAATATTAAGCATTAGTGACCATCTGTGAACTTTCAAGAACTCTAGAAATATAAATTAACACAGCCTCCGTTTGTGTAAATCACATAAACTGATTACATACCTTGGCGTCGCCCGTAGAACATGCGAGTGCTGCAGGTCGCCATTTTTAACAGCAAGCAACAAGTTTTCAGTGCTGTTTGCTCAACACTCCTCCAGATGGCAGCACAGACTACGTCCATGACGGTGGACAGGCGTCCTTTTCTGTGTGCAACGAAGTTTTTTTTTTTTTTCTTCTTCTTACAATTCAAAACCCAATGTTTACACTGGTGGACGCAGGGTCTCGGGAGGTTATACAGGGTGTTTCACGAAAGGTGGACAAATTCAATATTGCAAAAACTGCTCGAAGGCTTGTGTCGTTTTGGCCCTGGGCTCGAGGCCTATTTAGGAAAACTTTTGAAGTCCGGGATAATTAGATTGTTAATTATTTTTGAGTAACTGACTTTTTAGTATTGTGTTTTAGGTTATGGTTTCAATTAGAAAATTGCTCAGCATCATTGAAAAACACTAGATCAACATATTACACAACAATAGAAGGCACGTGCAGCATCTTACGACTTTCTGAAAAACCTCACAAATGGGATAGGTTTTTAAGTTTCGGTTTGCTATTGGAGCGCATCTCGACCTCGACGGCACCATGCCCCGTGGAGAAATGGTGCAACCAGCCTCTGCTGCGTTGCGCAAGGACATCGCAGCAGAGGTTGCTTGCGCCATTTCTCCATGGGGCGCGGTGCAATCGGGGCCGAGATGTGCTCCAATTGCAAAACGAAACTTAAAAACCCGTCGAATTTGTACTGTTTTTCAGAAAGCCGTAAAATGCTGTGCACGCCTTCTGTTGTTGTGCAATATGTTGATCTAGTGTTTTTCAATGATGCTGAGCAATTTTCTAATTAAAACCATAACCTAAAACACAATATTAAAAAGTTAGTTACTCAAAAATAATTAACAATCTAATTATCCCGGACTTTAATCATTTTCCTAACTAGGCTCCTCGTCCAGGACCAGAATGACACAAGCCTTTTTTTTGTTGCGACCCATAGTTTTCGCAATATCGAATTTGTCCACTTTTCGTGAAACACCCTCTATGTGGATATTGCACTTTTCGCGACAGTATTATCAGGTTAATTTTTATTTTGCTTACAGAACAAATGATAGAATGTTTTATGGAGGCATGTTTTCTTTTTCTGTCTTTAAATGTATAACTTATGCCGACCTCCTGTAGGTGAGGTATAATTTATCTGTACGGGGGTTCCTCATTCCTAGTCACTTTCCAAAACTTTATAATTCTCTTTGTACTTGAGATTTCTGTGATATTTTTCATTACATGTTGGCAGATAGCATTGTTTATGTCAAGGAATGGCATACATTGTATTTTTTTTTTCGTTTGTCTTTTAGGGCACAATAAATGTTCAATTTTACACATTCTAATTGATGTCATAATGAGCTTCACTTACTGAAATACTGCTGTGGTTCAGTCAAGGGCTAGACCGCCATGCTTCCAATTAGTAAATAGATATGCTTAAGGAGATGAGTGAAGCGTGTTTCCTGCAATCCTCTGAGACAAAACTCGGCACTTGATCTCCAAACAGGAAAGCTCCACATGCTTCATTTGTAAAAGCCCATTATGTTTATAACTATGGTTTAGCCGTGCAGTACGATGCTTGGGGCCACTGCTTGCTCACTTGAAGTTCGAGAAAGGGCGGCACCGGAAGCACTACCAGTTGCCCTCAGGCTTATGATGTGGCTTGCAAGTAGCTCTTTTGTATTACTTCATGAAGTGAGTTGCGTTCAATGTGACTCGTTCTTTCTTTATCATGTGCCTTGTATGTGATTTGGCAATACCCCCCCAGGTGAAAAAAAGTAAATGTGTTTAGTAAACATGATAAGCTGAGAATCATGATAAGAATATCCAATACTTTATATGATTTTCGTACAATTTAGAATTTCTGATATGTGTATTGGACACATGCCTATAAAATTTTTACTAGGGCCTATGCTTCATTTCAGCTTTCGTCCGAGTGCGGCAGACGCTACCGGCCAATCCAGCATCGGCAGAGTGTCATGTGAGCTAGAACTCCACATAACCAAAACGTTGCATGATACTCTCCCGGCACTGGATTGGCTGGGGTGGCCCAGCATCCACTGGGCCACCCCAGGGGGCGCCCATTTTACGGCAAGCACCCTCTACCAGGGGTGTTTGGCAAGCACCCATTATAAAGGGTGTTTACCTGAACACCCTAAGGGTGTTAGCCCTGGGACAAACTGGTGTACACCCTTAAGGGTGTAAAAACTTTTAGTGTGTACTTAAACCGCAAAGCATGGGCAATGGCATCGCCGCATTTTTTTTTATAGACTTTTGATTCCGGGCATTCCTAAGCCTAAATGAACGCGACAATTGTCGGCATGGCAACGTCTTTGGAAAGCGGATTGTTGATAGCACACAAAAGCAGACAGCGTCCCGACAGACTTTTTTCTAAATTATCCAATCATCGCGAGGAGAACGCTGGAAGTGTTATTCTACGGTCCACGCGCGCTGGCCTTCCTCTTATAAAACATTTGAAGTAAAAAATCATAATAAGGCTTTAACGAACGCGCGTGCAAGGCAAAATTTGTTTCATACTTTTTGCTTTAGAACGGTTACTACTGCAGACGCCAGCACGTGCGACGCGTGCAACTACAGTCGTAGCATGCACCTCGGTGCTTGGATAATTTAGAAAAAAAGGTCTGTTGGGACGCCGTCTGCTTTTGTGTGCTATCAACAATCCGCTTTCCAAAGACGTTGATATGCCGACAATTATCGCGTTAATTTAGGCCTAGGAGCGCCCAGAATCGAAACACTATCTAAAAATTGCGGCGATGTCATTGCCCATGCTTCGTGGTTTAAGCGAGGTAAGGCAACGCAAAAGCCTCCTGCACCATTCGTTGCTGACTAACGCGCCCGATATTGCAACCACAACGACATATTAGTTCCGAAGCGAGCGGCGCTCACTCACTGGGGCACCGCCATGTTTCCCCGCATCCCTCCCGAGCCAGTCACGTGATCTTAAAATCCCTCTCCTAGGTACTGCGGCTAACTTTAGTCGCGGTTAGTGCTTCGAGCAAACGGGCCCTGGAGACTGGCGGACATGTGGGGACTATCGGGCTCTCAACCGGATCACGACAGCCGACCGTTATCTAGTGCCTCACATTCACAATTTCACAGCGACTCTCGACGGCACCACGATCTTTTCCAAAATTGATCTAGTCCGGGCCTACCACCAAATCCCAGTTGAACCGGCCGACATCGAAAAGACCGCGGTCACAACACCATTCGGACTCTTTGAATTCGTCAGAATGCCATTCGGACTCAAAAATGCTGCACCAACTTTTCAGCGTTTCGCCGACCAGGCGCTGCGAGGTTTGCCGTTTTGCTACGCCTACATTGACGACACCCCGGTGCAAGCGGCTCCGCCGAAGATCACGCACAACATCTGCGTACGCTCTTCGCTCGCCTGGCGGACTACGGCATCGTCGTCAATGTCAGCAAGTGTGTGTTCGGCAAAAATGAACTGGAGTTCCTCGGACACAAAGTCGACGCATCGGGTATTCGCCCTCTTGACAGCAAAGTGCAGGCAATCCAAGAATTCCCCCAGCCCGTCAACAAAAACAACTACGTGAGGTTTTGGGAATGCTTAATTTCTACCGCCGTTTTTTACCTAACTGCGCCGAAAAACTTCAACCACTCACCGACTTGTTGAAAGAAAAGCACAACCCAACGACAGAACTTCAGTAGGACGACCCTGCCCGCCAGGCATTTCACCGCGCCACAGAGCTCCTCATAGAGTGCACACTCTATGAGGAGCTCTGTGCAACACATCGCTTGCCCTGGTGACGGACGCCTCCGCCACCGCAGTGGGTGCGGTGTTGCAGCAGGTGGTTGACGGATACCCTCAGCCGTCGTCGTTCTTCTCACGCAAGCTCTCACCAACCGAGCAACGTTACAGTCCCTTCGGCCGTGAACTGCTGGCAGTGTACTTGGCTGTAAGGCATTTTCGCCATTTTGTGGAAGGTCGCAACTTCGTCATAATGAACCACCACAAACACCACTTGTGCACGCCTTGCGCAACTTGCGGCCAGATGGTGGAACTCATTCCCAACGGGAGCTGCGTCAGATGTCATGCGTTGCGGAGTTTATATCCGACATCCGCCACGTCCAAGGTCGCGACAACGTCGTTGCTGACGCGCTCTCCAGGGCAAACATTTGCCATCTAGAATCCTCCGCAGTGGTCGACTTCAAGGAAATGGCGAGCGCTCAGCAGACGGACAGCGAGCTGCAGAACCTGTGTAACGCACCAGGTGGACTCGAGTTTCGGATGGTCGCACTACCGATGTGCGACACGGAGCTCCTGTGCGACATCTCCACCGGAACGCCTCGACCTTACGTACCCGAACCTTATCGACGCAAGGTGTTCGACACCCTTCACAAACTCTCCCATCCGGGAATCAAGGCAACTCAGC